CGGTGGGTCGGTCATCGAAATAGCCAATGGGATGGATGGAAGAGATGGAAAAAGTCGGTAGGTCGGTCATTGAGATAGCCGTAAGAATGGATGAATGAGAATGAGAAGGGCAGGATAAAGAAGGCTGAGCCTTAAGACAAGAAGGGCAGGGACCGTTGGGACGGTCACAAGGATTGGGTGTTGAGAAATGAGAGAGTTGAGGATTGAATAGGCCGAAGGGTCGGTCTTGAGAAATGGYTATTGAGAKAWCAACCACCAGACCGGCSATGTGGGTGGCCTTGTCGATGAGAGGCTGTCGGACCAGCCATSAAAATCAGCCYTGGAAATAGCATGGGWTTGAGTGYCTGAGAATTGGATATTKYATTGCATCAGTCAGGGGACCCTAGGCAACTTTATGAAAGGTCGTCGGGTCGACCATGGAAATAGCAAGAGATTGAGTTTTCCTTTTCTTCTAGTCTCARGTCTCAACATGAGGGGGATAGCAATGCCTGCATCGCGACCCCAAAGACCTCTACCCGTTAAGGGAAAAGTCTMAGCGYGACCTATTCCTCATAAGGGATAATAAGGGTTGAAGGACCATGGCATCATTCTCTTTGACTGATGTTGGCCGTCCGGAACTAACCCCGACAAAGAGCTCTAGYCGGGRAGTTCAAACTGCGCCTCATGTTGAGAACCTAAACGTCAAGGGCGTGGTGCCAAATGGGCGAGAGAGCCATTCTTTTTCCTAAGTCTCATTTTTTTCTCCCCAACCACAYGCCATGCYGTAGAGGGGCGGCACGRCCGTTTGGAATGRACCACGGCTGCTCGYGTTAAGTTGAGCAGCAYTGTCCAGAGGGAGGAATCGRGCGTGGTACCGGGTGGAAGCCGCAACCACCACAGGGCGAGTGACACCGCCCTGCCGGATCATTTCAACCGTTCCGGGACTAACCGGGAGGTCTTCGTAATTGCACTCGCAGACTAATAGAGAGCCCCAACTCTCTTAAAAGGAAGAGGCCGGATCCAAGGAAACACCACTCGGGAGGAACGATTCGCGAGAAGGCACTTACAGCAAGATGGGGTCCTGGGAGGCTTGGACTGGACCTACCTTCTAGATGTGGGGTGGTACCTCACTGATGACGCCCGTCTCGTAAGCGGCAAAAGGTCGGACTGGAGTAGGGGATGAGGTGAGTTATCAGCAGGGGGATAATTGATCACCCTTCCTTTTTGGGGCTGATGGGCCGATATCCGTCTATTCAGTTGGTGGGCCAAGATCTGCGTACCTCCGAGTGAGAACTAGTCGTGCCAAGGGGACATCGC